TTTTTTTTTTGCATAAAACGATGTGGGAGCATGTCGAACTCCAACCGAGAAAATAATTAGCGACTTTTTTTCCCCAAATTTGGTTTTCGATGCAGAAATCCTGCTAGAGCATGTAGATTAATTTCTGTATGAAAAAGAGAATTTTGGAAAAAAAATGTCGCTAAAAGGGCGTAAGCGACAAAAAGTAATTTTTCAGTAGGCGTGAAGGTGATTTCGTTTGTCTCAAAAATATATTGTTTTTCCATGGTGCAAAATATGTTTGATGTTACACTCAACCTTTGTAAAGTACATGTTAGCCTTGTCTAGCTTCTTAGCTTCTTCAAATCCTGAAATTGTGCAAGCCGTAAATATATCACCAGGAAAACTAGGGCACAGCTTGTTGCCTTTCTTATTTATTTAAAAAATATTAACTTCATCTACATAAAAATTTAATCACCTAGAATTCTTATCAAATACATAATTAATGATCAAAAAATGACTAAAATTAAGTCAACAATTGTTAAGTCTGCAGTGACCTCAAAAATATGAATCATATAAAAAGCGTGCGAAAATGAAATGAAGTCAGTGCACTTGCGGTTCTCAAAATAAGANATAACCAACTTTCTTTTCTCTAGCTAATCTCCGGGCCTGCGATGCGCCCAACGGCCTAGGCATTCACAATCTCTTCAAGCAGGCCAAGGCGCTGTTGCCACTCGAGCGCATACGAAACATCGTGCGTGCCGCCGCTAAAGATCCGGAAGTGCAAGCTTTCTATAAGCTGGTCCAGACGCCCGAATATCGTCAGCGCTCCACAAATTTGACTAGGTCGCGCGAGTATAGGGCTTTTCGTAGTTTTACTTGCTACAAAATGAATTGCGATCTGCGTTTGTATAATGATTTTAAAAGCAATTTACTTCCGTTGTCGGCTTTGAAGGAGTCTCCGTCAATTAACACTGTGCTGGCTCAAGGTCGACCAGGTCTGCGTGGTTTACTGGAGGACATACGCGACGTATTGCCACGTCAGCAATTGCGCAACTTATTCGAGCGTTTATTGGCTACCGATTGGT